ACTTCATCATTTTTCTCATTTTCAACTTCACCATTTTTTTCATTTTCAACTTCAACCAATTTTTCTTTCTTTTCAACATCCTCCTCACTCCAATTCCAAACTTCACCATCAATATCATCAATTTTTTCTCTACCTCTCTCCTTTCACTCTCGTCAACCAACTCTTTTCCACTTCTCGTCTTTATAGCCTTACAATACTCCTTAGGATTTGTTTGCGTATTTGCTGAGAAAGATGGTCCAGATTGTTGTTCCGCTAATTGCTTAGCAAGTTAACCAACTTGAGTCTCAAGATTTTTAATTGCCGCATCGTTACTTTTTTGATTCGCCATTGACATTTGCATGAATTGCGTCAATGTCTCTTCCAATTTTGAAGCTACGACCGGTGGTTGTTGAGTTTGATAGGGATTTTGACGGTTGGAAGGACCACCTCCATAACCTTGGTTATGTTGATAGTTTCCCCTAGGTTGGTACCCTTGGTTGCCTTGATAGTTTTGTTATTGTGGATTTTTGTGGTGTTGTTGTTGATGTTGCCTCGGTTGATAATCTCTTTGGTTTGCCATGTAATTAACTTCTTCAAATCCTGGAGGTGGACAAAATCCGGTGTCGTGTTCACCTTTGCAAAGTTCATAACAAGCTATTTGTTTAGCTTTTGATGGTTCTTTTAACTCTTTTATTTGTTGAGTTAATAGTTCCACTTGTTGTGAGATAAGCTTGTTTTGTGCAAGAATAGCGTCATTTGTCCCTAACTCGAGCACACCCGGTTTCCTTTGAGTCACCCCACGGTTATGATTCCCTTGATGATTATTAAGTGCCATCTTATCAATAATTACAATTGCATCATCTGCACTTTTTGACATCAAAGAACCTCCCGCCGTAGCATCCAATAAGGTCTTGTGAACCGAAAGGAGTCCATTGTGGGAAATATGAACTTGAGCAAGCTCTTCGAAACCGTGTCCCTTTCACTTTCTTAACATAGATTTGTATCGCTCCCAGGCTTCGTTTAGTGATTCACTAGCTCCTTGAGAAAATACCGCAATCGCAGTTTTAGCCTCCATGAATCGGTTATGTGGAAAGAAACGTTCAAGAAACTTCTCCTCTAGAAGATTCCAATCCGTCATGATTGTTGTCGATTGATCAAGGTACCACTCCTTCGCTTTCCCAATCAAGGAATGAGGAAATAGTCTCCTAAACAATGACTCTTTGTCAGCTTCTGTTGCTCCCGTTGCGCCAACAATCTCATAGAATTTTGTGAGATGGGTGAACGGATCCTCATGGTCTAGTCCCGTGAAAGGATTTTGATAGACTAGAGCTAGGATTCCCGTTTTCATCTCAGCTTGCCTTTCGTTTTGAAGATTCCGTACGAACTGAGCTGTATGTCTTGGACTGTTTGTGCATGGAGTGGAAACTTGAGGTGGTGGTGGTGGAGGTGCTGCCATAATTGGTGTGAAATATGGTGATGGTGGTGGTGTAGAGGAACTTTCTCCTTGCTCTTGTCTTTGCCTAGCTTGTTGCCTCCTCCGTCTTGTTCTGCTGTTCCGTCTCCTTGCGGTTCTCTCGATCTCGAGATCAAAAAGAAGTTGGTCCTCAGGAATCTGTCCTCGCATAAAACAAAGGTTGCACACTAAATCAAACAGATTACAAGCACAAGTAGAAAAAATTCAAAGTTAAAAATTCAGCAACTATTGCGATGCTCGCAATATCAATTTATATTCCCCGGCAACGGCGTCATTTTGTTATGACAATGGTAAAGTGTCGGGTTTTTGTTATCGTCTCCACAGGGAATATAAGATATTGCTGTCGTTCGAAAGTTGATAAATTCGTAACTTTATAGTAACAAAATGGGGGTTTTGGTTTTAGTAACGGTATCTTGCATAAAAAAAGTAATATTTCGCGGTAAAAGTTAGGGTTTTGCGGTTTAAAGAAAGATTGCCAAAGTTAGGGTTCAGTGATCGCTTTTCATGTATATGTTCGATCAACAAGATTCATAAACTCCATTAGATGATAAATATATTCACAACATCCTCTCGATGCGATTATCTCTAACTCGCATTATGGGATTTTTCATTTTGATCCATTGTTGATCTCTCACACAATCTATCAAAATAACAACATTAAAGTTCAACATTTATGTGAACAACTTCATTCATAACTATCTCTAGCTTACAAACAAAGGTGGATGAAAACCTAGGTTAAGAGTTGGAAAATATCTCTTGATCATAAACCAACACAAAGAGTTATCGATAAAGCAAAGTTTTCACCATACATTCATCATCAAAGAGTTTACAAATGAAGATCAATACATTTACATACAAAGCTTGATGATCACCTACATCTAACCTTGACAAAAGGAAGTATTTAGCTACTCATTTTCATGGTAGCTTGCAGTAGAAGTATCAGGAGAAGGTTGATGAACATCCGAGTCGAAGAATCCAACTTGGATGAGAATCCACCTTCCTTTTGGTGGAATGATGTTATTAGATGAAGAAATGAGAGCCAGAGAAGTTTTTAGGTCACAAAATCACTTTTTTTTAGCAAAAGTAGTAAAAGATGTGATAAGTCAACAAAAAGTACACTAGCTATTTATAGACAAAGTTGATGGTCTGCCACGCTCGCGACCCTGCTCGCTAAGCGAGCTTCCAGTGAATGTTCGCTACAGCCTCGCTCAGCGAACATGCTAGTGAGGTCTGAGGCAATCATTCTGTTTGGCTTCGCTGCAACTTCCCTCAGCGAACATGCTGGCGAGTTCTTGAGGTATAATTATGTTTGGCTTCGCTACTTGCTCGCTAGGTGCTCGCCCAGCGAGTGCTTTACTACCCTCCTCGCTACCAGCGAACAATGCCAATGTGCTTCTGCCCAAGTCTGGGAGTGTTCGCTAGCTGCTCGCTATGAGCTCGCTTAGCGAACACTCGTTACTGCTTCGCTCAGCGAACATGCTGGCGAACTTGCTATTGCTTTCAACTTTCTTGGTTCTTTTGTCATCTTTCTTGTGCCTTCAAATCCTACTCTTTCATGCTTAAATTCTGCACAATAACACACAAATTAAAAGAACCAATAGTGTTTCACACTATGATGCATATTAACAAAAACAAGTCGGTTAGAGCACAAATTAGACAAAAACGGAGTGAAAGATGCCCAAATTTGATAGCTCAAATAAGCACAATTGGGCATCTAACAACGCCCTCTATGTTGCATGCCGTTTTTTTATCGAACACGACACTGCACTTGGGTCACATCATAACCTTAGATTTTTTGTTTTGGCACCTGTGAAGAAATTCTATAAGGCTTTCTTCCTTTTTTGGGTAAGCCACTTTGTTGTATTCCTCTTGTCGACACTCCCGGTCGACTTCCATGGGAGTTTCCTACGAAACTTCCACCATGTTAATGTCCATGTTGACATTATCAACAATGTCTAACTTGCAGAACTGCATTTGAAGGCCATCAACAACCTTATCCATTCGAATGAAACCATCAGCGGTTTCCTTCGTTATTATCATACGGTTGGAGTCCTCAGCAACTTCTTCGGCAAAGTCATCAGCAACTTCGCTGTCGAAACTGTCAGTAGTTTCCTGGGTGAAGCCCTCAGTTGCTTCTCGAACAAAATTTGTCACAAATTTCTGGCCAAGCTCTTTAGTGACTTGAACCAAACCAACTTTATTAACGAAGTCCTCAATGACTTCAACCATGTTGACAATGCCGTCGAAACCCTGAGCAACCTCGACCATGTTAACCTCTTTAGGCTCATTATAATGAGTATCAACAATTTGTTGAGACTCGACATCCACCTTTGTCTGGCTTTTGGGCTTCTCTCTGAATTTCAATCTCCCTTATAAGATAACGTTTTGCACAAGATCCCTGAAAAGAAAACATTGAGAGGTTTTATGGCCCAAAAAATTATGGTATTTGCGAAATCCTCTTTTCTTTCTTTGATCTAAAGGGGGCATTTTAGCACTAGGAGGTACTATCATTTGCCCATCTTTAGCACTAGGAGGTAAATCAAATGTATAAGTTCTCTTAGGAAATCTATCATTCTTATCTAACTCAGTAGGGTTCTTTCCACTCGAAGGTGATAAAGCCTAGCAAGAATAGGGTGAACCCTTTTTCAATTTAGCCAGATCTACTTTGTTTTCGTCGAAACTTATAGACTCACTACACGGTCCTTCGTCGTCTTCGTTAAATTCGACATAGACTATCCTTTTATTCTTATTTACCCTCACTTTTTCTTCTCTCAAACGTTCCAACTGTCGAACTCTATCGGCCAACTGGGCCATATCCCTCAGGTATTGAGTATCTAACTTCTTTCTGATGGAATAATCTAGGCCACCAACAGTCATTTCGACTAACTCATACTCTGGTATTTGTGTGAAACACCTTACTTTGAGAAGTTTCTACATCCAAACTGGTATGTTGAGGAAAAAGAAAAATTCGTTTCAGACATGTTGGTAAGTAGGAGACACGTTGAGTTTGTGAAGAAGGGTAGAAGAAACTTTGAAAAAATGAGTTTCGAAATACAAGGACGACCGAGTTTGAAGAAATGGGTTTGGAAATACATGTTAGAGTTTTATAAGATTGAACTTAATTTTTTTAAAAATGAAATCAAAAAATAAACGATATGAAAATGATATTTGGTGAATAAGAAATGTGGAATGACACGGAAATGCCACATCTTCTTTCAACGCGCCACATCATTAAAAAAATGACAAAGGGACTAATATCAAACTCAAAATTTAAAATAGGGACTTAATGCTTTTTAAAATAGAAAATTAAAACTCAAAAAAAATATAAAATAGAGGGATTAAAGTTGCAATTAAGTCAATTTTTTTAAAATGACACTTATTTTGGGAGGGGAGTAGCTAACAACATGTTTATTTTGGATGGATGGAATTGGGATGGGAGAGAAGGAAAAGGAATGAATGAGCCATATCAACAAGGAAAAAGTGTCGAGTGAAGAAAACAGTGAAAAACGAAGTGATTAATCGTTGTTAGAATAATCGCGTTTGGAAAATGGATTCGAATGTAAGGGATTTCATAGCAAAGGAAGTTCCAGATTGGAACGACGAAGTAATCGCCGTTGCTCGATTCAAGGCCTTTTCCGGTCAAAGATCCGATTGGCAACCAAATTTCCTCTTCTGGAGAGATTTGATCATCAAAATCGCTTCCCATTTTCGTTTCATCCTCATTCGACCTTCTCAGGTACTTGCTTCTAACTAGGGCTTTTCCAATTTCCCTCTTTTTTTCTACTCTTTTCACTCTCACCTTAAATTGGTTATTTTTAGGTCAAGAATGATTGGTTTAATCGAGGAGGATTAACCCCTTTGTGTATCGATGATGTTCTGGTGAGTGTTACTCACTCATATCTTTTGTTAAAAGCATGGTATTTTAAGTATGTTTGATTCTGCGGCAAAGAAATTTGATTTTTAATGAGTTGATTGTGTTAACATTGATTCGGACTAAAAGTGAGTTGAACCTAAAGTGATTTATGTTTGGATACACTACTGCAAAGTGAGTTGAATGTTGAATTTTAGTGTGTTTTGGTTCTGGGGTGAAAATAATTGATTTTGAATGAATTTAAAAGTGATTAATGTTTGGATAAATTTATTTATAAGTGAGTTGAACAATTAAATTTAATGTAAAAATCACATTTAAACTTAGAAATTATAAATTCTAGCTTCAAGTAGAGTCAATTTTGGAGGGAAAATCAATTATACTTTAGAAGAATCAAACCCCTCAAAATCGCTCCAAAATCAATTCTACATCTCTAGAATTGCTTTTGGCTCTTCTAGAAGCTAAACGAAACATACTTAGCTTCAACTAGAATCAATTCTAGAAAGCATAATCAATTTTAATTGAGAGCAACCAAACATATCAGAATCAATTAGACACATTCATAATCAATTGTAAGTGCTCCAAACGTGAAATCTTACAATTACATAGAATTCATGATGGTTAAACTTAATTTGATATGCAACTTCAGTTGTATGCTTTAGGGCATGTTTGTATGGAGGGATCTGGAGGGTTAAGTCTACATATATTTTGATACGATAGATGATCATATCACATTTCAATCACACTTGATTTATTTTTGGAATCATTTTAAAGCTTCCTTAATTTAGAAAAGAAAGATACGACATTCATCCAAACACACCCTTAGTGTTTTGTTTTGTTTTTTTGTCTTTACATTTTATCATTTTTCAGTCTCTAATGTATAATGAAGGTGACATCACAAGACCTGGGAATCTTATTGATCCAACGAGTGGAAGATTCTCCCAACTAGTCCGAAAAGTGACCAACTTAATATCCCGACCAGCTGCAACTGATATCATGGCTGAAGAATCCGTGGTCCTGACTCCTCTGCTTAAGGTTGTTAGCAATCCGTTTTTTTTTTTTTTTTGGTTTTGTTTTCCTTTTGTTTCTTTTATGCATGCAAGTATATGGTTTACTTTGTTCATTTGTAATTAAGATTGACCAACATATATTTCATGAACAAGGCCACCTTTGTAGAGTTTATTTCAAAATTTCGTTGAAGAATGTTTCCATGTCAATATTCTTATACTTTGTACTCAGCAGAGACATCTATGGTCTCTGAGAAATCTGGCATTTGTTTAATTTCTTTCAATTTGGATAAATTAAACTCTTCTAACATTGATCAATCTGTATTCTCATGATCTAATGTCTGACATCTATATTATCCTTATCAATTTTGAGATAGAAAGCTAAATATCATATTGAGATATTACACCAAAATCACTGGTTAACGATGGAATTTGTTACCTATTACTCCCTCCGTCATACAATGAGTGACCCATTTGGAATAAATGAGTGTCCCAAAATGAATGACTCATTTCAATTTCCAATGCATATTTTTCAATTTTACCCTTTAATTAATATTACTTTCTTCATTACCAATACATGATAAGAGTACTTTAGTAAAACTATCACTCTTTCATTCATTTATTCCTTTTTCTTAATCTGCGTGAAAAGTCAACTGGATCACTCATTGTGGGACAGAGGGAGTATAGTTCCAAACATGGACAATACGTTTTCTAAAATTTATTCTTCCATGAGTTTATTTTATTTAATCCTTATGATACGTAAGCTGGATGCACTCCAAACTGTTTAATAAGCCTGCCACACAAGGACTGTGCAATGATTCATTTCCATGGTGTATGATGTCTGATCTCAGCAACTGTCCTTGTTTGCTTTAATGCAATACTGGTGCTAGCAAGTCAATTAAGTTTGGAGGATTGGGCTAAACTTTCCTTTGTTTAAGTATGCTCGACATTTTCGATATATAACTCAGATTAGTGTTCTGTTTCTTCATATGTAGGATAAGGCTGCTGAGGTTGTAAAACATCTATCAGAAAGTCACTGGAATTCATCATGTATCATCACAATGAAGAAATTTCAGGAGATATGTGGAGGGCCTGATGAAGCTTCTGTAATGTTGAGGTATCTGTCAGGGCGTAGAACAGCACAGTATCTGTCTGTCCTTAAGAATGAATTTGTAGAGGTACTAAAACTTTCTGAAGTTGTTCTTATGATCAGAAAAAAATCAGTTGTTTCGTTCTCCACTCTGGGAAGGTTTTTTTCTTCAAATATATCACATGTGTGTCCGTCAACTTTTGATATTTCTAGTAAATTAATAGTCATTCCGATAATCATTTTTTTAAGCGGTAAGTATGTTAGTATTTTCGCCTTTGCCAGGGATCGAACCATGGTTTTTTAACTCCTTCACTCCTGGTGTCCTTGCACAGCTACAAACCGAGCTGACATTCAGGGACTCCGATGATCATTTATACTGGCCCGGATTGTTCCCTTACTGTGGGAGGAATGATCATTTATCAACGCTGATTACATTTTTATGCCTGAAATGCTTGTTTTACATTTCTTTTAAATTTGACAGGGGGTAAAAGTTTTGCTCTCAGAAGCAGCATTATCTGGCGTCTCTAATTTAGATTGTGATGTATTATACTTGATTTGGACAATCGAGAAGCTTCAGCAACAATTAGATGTGATTGACAGGCGTTGTGAATTGTAAGTTTATTGTATGAATTTGTATACTTGTATATGTATCTCGAAGTGTTTTTTAAATAATTAAATGAAAAAAAAAAGCTTTTCATATCATATACTCGTCCCAGTTGTCAGCTATGCTGCATCAATGTAGGGGATGTTTGCATAAAAGCGTTTCCTCACATATTGTTTCTATTAGGTCAAGAAAGTCAGCAGTGGCTTCTCTACATTCTGGGAACCGAAAAATAGCTCTCAGGTATGCAAGGGAACTGAAGTTGGCCACCCGGAGTAGAGAAAAATGTTCATCACTTTTGAATAGAGTAGAGGAAGTACTCGGTGTTATTGTTGATGCCGAGTCAACAAAAAAGGTACAACTTGTATCAAATTGATCAGTTTATACCATATTCAATACATTACACCGAACAGCATATTGTCTTTGTTATAACACGAAATCCATTATTTGTTATCAGGTTTCTGAAGCTATGAAGATTGGAGCACACACAATGAAAGAAAATAAGATAAGCGTGGAAGATGTTGATCATTGTTTAAGAGATGTCCAAGAGAGCATTGATTCACAGAAGGAAATTGAGAAGGCACTAGGTATATTTTATCATATCTTTTTGTGACTTGCATTATCCTGAAATCAATAATTACTAGGGTTTGAATTTTTAAGCATGCTGTTTTTTTGGCTGCAGAGCAAACTCCATCATACACAGATATCGATGATGAAGATATTGAAGACGAACTCGAAGAGTTAGAGCTGGCTCTTGAGAAAGAGGCTCAAGTTCATACACCAGAAAAGACTAGTACCAGTGAAGAAGCAACTGCAACTTTGGAAGCCTCTAAATTACTTAGTGAAACTCTCTCAAATCTCAAACTTTCAGACAATGCAGTAGGAAAGTCAAGAATCACTCAGACGACATCAAAAGGAGAGAAAACGGCGAATTTAGCAATGTAACCCAATAGTTTGAAAGTGAAGAGAGTTCAACAACTACATATTATTTTTAAAAGATTGTAAAATATGGTTGAATGCTGTATAAAATATGTTTATATGTTAGAGTGTGTCATTTTTGTTAACCCATAATGATTAAAACCTTTTGACTTCATCAGCTGCAAAATTTTCTCACGACTTTGCTCTTTGAGCCACTATCAGATCAATTGTGGAATTGGCACGAAACATATGTCTTATCTCTCCACGATTTCATGAATTGAACTTAGAATTTTTGAAATCTGCAGCTGTTATTATATAATCAGATACATTTCTGTAAGATGTTAACCAACTTTAGACTTGCCTTTAACAAACCTAATCTTTCTATTGTCATCTAGTTTCCTTTCCTTTGAAACTTTACATGAATTTTCCTTTTTTTTAAAGTAGGAAAATGACAACTGTTCTAGTGTCGAGTGAGTAAAAACTTTTTTCATATTGGATGCTACTGGCCCAATGGACCAATGTAATGATTCGATGTGGTATGAAAGCCAAAAGTTCGATTAAAGGCGACCGAGTCCTTGTATCAATAACTAACAATAGCCAGTGCTACCAAAACTTGATTGCTTTGTTCCATGCATTTTTGAACCTCTGCAGAATTAGCCACATTTCTTGCTAGGTTGATTCTTGTTACCAAAAGAGGTTGGTGCAGTGGAAGAGTTTCCATTGATTGGAAGCGTGAAAGGTGCATTATGAATTGACATTGGTGGTGGTAATTGGTTGGAAAAACCAAACATCTGAACTCTGATATTGTTATTATTATCTGTGACACTATTACTCATTTGTGGAATTGGAAACTGTACTTGTGGCCTAAAACCCATTAAATGTTGTGCATTCATATTCATATAATGTGCTGGTGGTAACATCATAAGATGATTAAATGGCATACAAAGTCCTCTACCCATTGTCATAATCTGCAACATCATAATTCACAACATTAATATAAGACTATACACTAACAATCTAATTTAAATTATGTTACATAGAAAAAGGACATGAACTTTTACCTGTAACTGAAGCTTGAGTGTCTTAAGATAATCAATGGCATCATCAAGCATTGAAGCCTTGTCCATCTATAACAAATACAAAGCAAAACCTTTATATAATTAAATTAAAACAGATAAAGTTCAACAAGATCATTCTTGTCAGAAAAATTGAAGTTTACATACCTTGTTGCAATTTGGTATGAGCTCTTTCAATATACGTATTTTCTCGTTGATTTTATCTCTTCTCTTCTGCAAACATCCACAAGTATATATCAGTTACATGTAATTAACTTGCATACATAAGTACAAATATTTCTATTTCTTTTTCTATTGATATTTAAAAAATGTTCCTCACCCTTTCAGTTAAATTATGACTCTTCGCATTCTTGTAGCATCTCTTGACTGTGTTTCTTTCCCGAGCTGGCTTCTCTTCGAACATATTTTCTGAGGTTTCTTCTTCATTCTGCAGCATCAAGTGATCAAGCTTAGTACGAATGATGGTAAACTACTATAACACCAAAACTTCGTATTGAAAATATATCTGGTATCTGACACGTGTCGGTGTTGACATGTTGTCGTGTCTCGTGTGCTCGTGTTTGTATCAATGGTTTATTAAGTCCACTTACATCACTAAAATATGGTGAGTCATAATTGTCCTCATGATCTCTGAAACCAAAGTTTGGATCATTCGAGGCTTCAAGTGAACATACAGAAGAAGATGACGGTTCATTATATACGTTAATATCACTAGCTTTTCTCTTCACTCCAATTCCAAAAGCACTATCATGGCTAGCAGCAGCTTCAGAATGTTCATCAAGAGTTGGTAGCAATTCTGTTAAATGCTTTTGTTGTTGAAATTTTGTAGAAGCAGTGGCTTTTGATTCTTTCTCTTGATGAGTTGATTTGAGAAACACTGCAGGTATAGAGAAGTTTGAGAAGTTCACTTTTTCTGGTTTTTGATATTCACACCCTCCTAAGTACTGTTTCTGCTGTAACTTTGTTGTTTCTATTTGGCTTGAAGTTTCCACTCTTGGTTTTTTGAATGGTGTTAAATATGTGAACTTGTGAGTATTGTTCTTGGTTTGTGAGGATTGAAAATCAACGTAAGAGGAACTAGAATCAAACATGTTAGGAGTTGTTTGTAACTAAAAGAAAATGTAGTGTCTTAAATAAGATGAATATGATGAATTGAGGAAAATGTTATATATAAGAATCCATGTGGTGTGGTACATCTCAAATTTAATTCCTAGTACTATGTGAAATAATAATAATAATTTAAGAGATTCTCACAAAAGGTCTTCCACAAATTAATATGACATTGTAGCTTTGTATTTGTTGTTTTGTGTTGATTTGGAATTTGGAATAAGAGAGGATGTGGATCATTGCTCACCACTACTATTATTGATACTGTAGAGTATGTAATCGCATACGTAAGCGCAATTTGTCTTAACGGCTGAAAATAAGAATCATGTTAGTAGCTGTTGTAACAGCTTTGAATTCGGACAAGTGATTAAGATTGTAATAAAAGAAACAGTTACGTCATTTTCAAAGTCCCACATATGATTAAGGATAAGATCTAGGTTCTGGACATTATGATCTAGTATCTTTTCACTATTAAGCAATGAAGATTAGACACGTAGAGAGTCATAGAAAATGGCAATTAAACATGGTTAGAGTCACATTCAAAGAAAGCCCCACAATATGGAATCCGAGTTATTTTTGGTGTAGCAAGAGCCACGTGATGGCAAGAAACAAGGGCACGCGCAGTTGCTTACGTGTCATGAAGCTATAGGGTGGGAATGAGTGTGGAGCCTCTCCTTTTCACGTGAAAGTCACATTGGGTTCACGTGCGTGCGTGTCATATTGTCTATACTTTTTCTTTTGGTATTAATAGTAGTCAATATGGACTTTATTTACAGACCATGTTAATGGACGTCGACATATCAACAACTATAAAGAGTCTTCATTATTATTATTATTATCATTATTATTATTATTATATATATATAAAAGTTACATTCATTCAACTCAACTAAACTATTCCATAAAAAAAAACTCAACTAATACATAATGTTTGAGATACTCCACCTACTTGATATATAAAATATTAATAATCAAATTGCAAAAAATGTAAAATCATATAAAAAATTTAACTTAAATTAATAAATAATATTAATTGAAATACTAAAAAATAGTGAGTAATAGTCTCTATTTTTATTTTCTAGTAGTTTAGATATGGAAAATTTTATATGTGAAATTTCGATTTCTATTTATATAGTCTAGTAGTTTGGATATGGAAAATTTTATATGTGAAATTTTGATTTCAAATTTGAGTACAAACATTTTTTTCTTTGCATGTTGGGCATTAGACTATAATAACAAAACAAAAAAGAATAATGTATTATACTAATAAAAAAATTAAACTAGAAATTATATTTAGTTTGTTTTTGAAAAAATAATCCAAAAAACAATTTAAATTGAGTGATTTTATTAAATACTAGCGTCCAGACGGACACTCGCATGTCCGTCTGCCCGCTTTTTTAATGCACATGTAAAAATATAAATAATATTTTTTTATTTAATATAATTTTAAATAGAAGTTATGTAAAAGATTAATAATAGAAATTAAATAAAAAGTTAATAAGAGGAAGTTATGTGAAAATTAATAGTAGTGGTTTTTTTTAATAGAAGTTATTAGATAAATTATACATTAAAACAAGAGTAAAATTGATAGAAAAATAAGTTACACCAAAATTAAATTTTGTCTTTATATATATGTTGTAAATTATACAAAAGAACCTTCAAACATAATCACTATCATTCAATTTTGAATTTTCCTACCTATTTCAATAAATATTGTATTACTACTTTGTCCCATAATGTCACATTTACTATAACCAATAGTTTTAAAATAAATTTTAGAATGAATTTTATTTTCAATTTTTTATATATTATTAAAAAAATATTATAAAAAATATTTTTAATTATACATAAACTTACTCTCTTTCTATTTTATTTTTAAAATAATTTTGGTCTTCCATCTCTATTTCTAATTAAAAAATTGTTGCAGTGATTTTATTAAGAATTTAATTTATATACACATACCGTTGAAAAGATCTTTTAAACGGTCAATTAATTATAATTATTAATTTATTTGAAAAATTTGATTTTAATTTTACCATTTAAAAAATAATATCGATAAATAATTATGATAAATTGACCGTGTAAATTTTTTACACTAACATTAGATAGTACATAATCTCTTTTTTAATACTCTGACCATTAACAAGTGACATGTAGAATGCAAGTTGGATTATTGTAATTGCCATATTATTTTTATAAGATATTAAAATATTTTAATAAAATTAATTAAAAATAAAATAAACACGATGGTTTTTCTCCTTTTCACTCTATTAATTGTATGATATTTTTTCATTGACCTAGGAAGTTTCAGAAATATCATGTTTCATCTCTTCTTTACATTGTCTTCTTCAACCGCTTTCTGCATAACTTCATGTCCTCCTCTCTTCATTGTAAATGACTTTCGAATCAATGTTATTTTTGAGTAACCTATCTTATTTTAAGAGGAGAATGAGGCAATGTTGTTATAGGTTTGGATTATTCACCGGTGTCTGTGTGGACATGGATGTCGGTGATATAAGTTACATGTCCAATTATTTTATTTCATTTTACCGTGTGTCTTTCGAATCATTAGATTTTTTAGGTTTGTTGAGATACAACTCCTCTGATATTTTGATTATAACAAACTATTTTATTTTATTTTGTTAATCATTTTTACATTAACATATTCTTGTGAGTTGATCATAATCAGAACAGTTGTATAATCAAACAACATTGTATGGAAGTACTTGACTAAAAGAAAAGAGGTTATTTCATGTTTAAAGATCAATGTTATGTATTAAAAAGCCTAATAGCATTGTTATAATTTTGCATCATCAAGAGGATAAGCTTTTTAGCAAATGACATCATTGTAATTATGTCTCCATTTAAAAGATCAGACCTTCTCGCTAAAAAACTAAAGCATAATAGTTTTGTAATTATATTGCATACAGGAGGATTAAGCCTCTCAACATTTGTACTAGTAATGGCAGTCTTGTAAATATAGTTCTATACTTTAGGCAACATTGTCTCCTTAATTCTTAAATAGGATCTACACTTCTATATATCCTCCACCTCACTTCTTCCATTTCACACATTCATTCAAAAAAAAAAAAAAAATTCAAAAGAGGTCATTCATTATATTATTCCAATATTACATTCTTTTTAAAATCATATTCTTAGAATCAAGAAATTTCAGTACTGTTCCGGTATGGGCCTCACCTCGGCAGGCCCAATACCACATGCGGCCCCACAAGCGAACTGGGCACGCCTGGCACGCGCCCCTTCGAACGAGCAGGACTGGCCGCCGGGCACAAGTTACATCTCCACGTCCTTTTTTGTCGTCCGTCACGCCGGACGAGCAGGACCACCCGGGCTCCCCTCTGCGGGGAGAATAACGTGCTCGGCGCACGTTCTCCACGTGCTCCCCTCCGCGGGGACACGTCATCGGCCAACCGCCCACCTCCGAAAGAGCAGGTCAAACCCACTTTCCGGAGACCTAGGAGCGGTTGAACTAGGGCGAAGACCACGTCCTGGTCTTCACTACGCCACGTAAGCCCTAGCAGTCATTAGGGTTGAGCCTGGTCGTCCGACCCACCTCGAATGACCGTTGGCCCAGCGCTGGGGTCTCTCTATAAATACCCTCTTCTTCAAGAGGGTCAGGTAACTCTTCTTGCCCCTTTTTCTGTACTATTGCTTCCTCTCTGTCCAACTTCTTACTTGGGCGTCGGAGTGCTTTGCAGGTACACCCCCTCCTCTTTCTCACCCCGGCGAACAGATAACAACCCAACGGAGTGTGGCCAGTCCGTGATCCCTCCTGATCAGGTCAGATCAAGTACTATAAATATTTGTCTTAAAATCACATCCTTCCAATAATCATTTGTTGAGGTGTGGTATATATGATCCTTGTAACACCCTTCTAAATTCTAATTTATAATTAACAGAATTAATTACACAATCACCACACAAGGGTGTCACACTTCATAAAACATAAACTATCCTACCCCGTAACACGGGTTACAACCAACATATTAACTTGTCATCGCATGCTCACCTTCATTTATGTATTCTAATGAATTTTTGAAGTGTGGAGTTATTAATTCAAATTGATTCTGAATAACTCTCAAGAAGTTTCACCAGAATCCTTCTGGCACGCCTCAAGAAATCACTTTGTTCGTCTCTGAAGAAACATCAGCAGTTCTCATGAATGTTGAATGCCTCTGAAGAAAAAGAAAGTTATGTGCTTCTAAGAAAAGTTTCGCTTCCAACTCTGATATTAAGCTCTGAAGACTTTGAAGATAAGGTTCTGTTGAACAAGTTCGGAAGACATTACTTCTAAAGACTTTGAAGACTCTGATACCACTCAGTCATTTATCTTCTGGACTCATCATCACTTCCCTTCTAATAAAGTTGATCAGAAGATAAGGTCAAGACAGAAACATGTGATGAAAGAATCCGTACGAAAGTTCATTCCCATTTTGGTATAAACTGAATTTACATTAGTACTATTATATGGAATATGGTGAGACTTTACCACAATTATCTCTCACATTCTTGTTATTACCGTTGCAACAATCGGCATCAAGGTTTACGTTTGTACCCTTCAACGTTCAAACATTCAACTATATAAAGAAGTTTTTACCTCATTGCTTAAGAGAAGTAAAACAATGATCAATATCACAAGTGAAATATGCTCACTCTAGAAATTCTATCAAAACACAAAGTGTTATTGCTCATATTTGTGTAATACTCTGTTCTTATATTTGTTTCATTTGCTTTATAGAAACACCTTTGTAAACACTTTCTTTGTATCTTCTTTGATATCATTTTTCCTCAAGTCACTAAGTGTTAGTCTGTAGATTTGAGAGGGCTGAGTTGTTTTTCAAAGTACTCAGACGGGCTTGTTGTAATCTTTCTAGATTAGTGGATTAAGTCCTTTTTGAAGGTAAAATCACTTTTACGGGTGGACTGGAGTAACTTTGTTAATAGTGAACCAGGATAAAAATGT